TGGTGAGAAAAATTTCACGACACAGTTTATCGGCAATGATGGAAATATCAGTTTCTTCATTGGCTAGTGGCTCAAGCATTTGATGAGTCACCAATGATTATCTTACCAGGTTTCAAATCGGTAGGAATTGTGCACCTCTCCCCGAGTTGAATTTGTTAGGTTGCTTGAACGGACTCGACGTAAATACAAAGAGAAATTCTTAGGGGCAAAACTTTAGGCATATATATGTATGAATTAGCCTCGACAGCCAGTCGCAGTACAATATCGATTTATCGTTATTTCTCCAAGAATCCTAAGGCATGCCAAAGGCACTCGGCCATTCGAAACGCGACTACGGAGTCGGCCACTTTTACAAAAAGGCCCACGTTTTTTGATCAATTGTTATTAGCAAAGATATCAACTCGGCCAGGGCAATATTCCAGGCCAAGAATTTAAAGGAAAAGTATTGTGTCGTACTTTATGAATGATATCAGAGCTGGATGACAAGCAAGCTCTGAAAAATGAATGTGACGGTTGACATGGATCCATTCCTTGGCAACAGTTGGCATGTACGCCCATTTGCCCGAGCAAAAGGAAAATAAGCATGGTTTTATCAGATAAGCACATCCTAAAGACTCCCTGCCAGGACTCAAGGACCTACTGAAACCAAAAGAACGGCCATAGTTTTAATGTCAGACCAGCAAAGATTATACTACAGCAATTGTATTATCAAAAGAAACGCGCCACGTTCACGACAACAGATTTTTGATGGTCACATTGCACTATTCAGGCAAAGATCATCAAACAGCAGAGCCATCTCGCAGACAAAATTCTTCTAGTAACGAGGATTATCGCTGAACCACGTACAAAGCCACGTTGTACGAACAAATTCTCCCATCACCAAAGAAAAACCGCACGGCCTAAAAACTTCCATGAGGGCGACGGCCGCTAAACTTTCCCAAAATGACAGCTAAATATCAGAACCGGACTTTGATATCCACCCCCAACTCCCATGGCTGAATTACAAGAGGCAGAATGGAAAAAATCTGGTACTTCGAAACATGCATCAATTGAGAAGCGTTGTAAAACCGACTTAGGCCCGGAAAAGATGACTAGCCCAATGATTCGACACAATTTAAGAAGACACCAGAAACACTGTCCATATTGCTTATCCGCCTGTCCTTTCAAAAGCTTCCTTCATCAATTCAGACAATATGCCCAGCCATTTTTAGGGAATCTTTAGATCATATATAGCAAGGTGACCTCAAGATCTGCTATATTCCTATACAATATATTGTAGTGCCAAAGCATGTCCAAAAAGTTCTTGACTGCCACAATTGCGCCGATAGTTGAACAAATCATCCCAAAAAACCACTGGATCTAGCGATGAGAACTGTTTCCAGCCAAAAAAAAGGCTAAAGGTTCGGCTAAAGAGACAACCCAACAATCGCTTTCCATTCTCACATAGAAAAGCTGAACTCTTTTTTCTCTCGAAATACCTTTAACAATTTCATTATCACTTCAAGTCTTTTCGCGCCGATCCTTGTTCGTTTAACGATCGATGGGAAAGAAACGGTAGTGCTCCGTCTTGGACGCTTACTGGATCAGGGACGCCCAGAATCGGCCTATGAGGAAACGTGCTCGCATGAAAGATACTTGCAGGGGCCAAAATCGACACCAAACACATGTAACGCCCGACGACGACAGTCAAATGATGACACAGAGTCAGTAGATTATACAAAGAGAAAGAGCATGATGAGACACACAAAAATCAAACTGAGGATGCTCTAACACACGATGTGCTATAGTCCTACCACACACACAAATCACACCAGGATCCAATGGGCCTTCAGTTCTCGAAATATGGAAATCACACATGGTCCATTCCTACCATGGAATTTCAGCTAACCACACACCACCAAGTTCCTTGACGATGTGGTCGCCAAAAGTTAGTTCGTCACCACCATTGACAAGCAAGCCTGGATCCAATAGGAAAGCCTTTCAGTTCAATCGCAATTTATAAATGTTTATATCGAAATCTTGCATGAATTGGATTTCGAATGATGTCCTATATCCGTCATGGAATTACAGTTTCCAACGACTATTTTCACAACCACCAACCACAGTTCACAAAGAGATTGCGATCCCTCTCAAGGTGTGGTCTGCTATTCACGATGATCGTATTTTTTACTCGAACAAAGTAATTTATTCGTCATTCACCGATTGGAAGATGATGGCTCAAGTACAGAAACGATATCTTAGAAAGGTGCACGGTCGAGTCCCCTCTACCATCAGGATTCAACAAGACCGATTTGGCCAATTTCCCAAACTTACTAATGATTGAGACAAAGGCAAGAGGCGTTTCCGACATACTTACCAATGGGCGAATGTTTGGCCCATTGGTATGTTACTTTCCAAACACCCATTCGGGGGTAACTTAGTGAATTTTTTGCCAACGAAGATAACAACCAGTACTATCGTTTAGACAAGTACAGGCCGTACCGGGTCGAACCCTACTAGACAGTCACCCCAAAAGTTAAGGCCCTTTAGTAAGACATAATTGTCGGTGCACGGCCGACTGACCCTCTCGGGTTATTTATTAGTGCATTGTTCACCCGCCCCTACCATGATAATGCGAACTTGGCCAATTCTCGACAGGATTCCAAACATTCTTTTTCTCTTGGAGTTATCATGAGCGGTGGCCTCTTGGAAGAATCGGAACCCTGGTTTTAACATGAAAATTACGCATCAGTAAGCTGGTTGTAAAGGCCGCCAACCCCTCTCACCAGTTCATCACCCAAGCAGTCTCGTTAAAGATATAGTCTTTTAAAAGACGCTTTATTCTGAACGCTCCGGCAGTCTGGGCCAATACTCATCTGTATATGAAGAAAAGATTGGGCAATCATCCTGCATGCATCGATTTTTGTATCTATTAAAACCGCCTGATGAGTATGACCCGATGCCAATCTCAATTTGTTAATGATGCCGCAGCACATCACGAGATTCTATCCTTCATGGAGGGCATTTCTGGTTATAAACCAGATTTTCATTGCCAAGAGACGGATGTCATAAAACTACCTTTCGGTGTGGGGACACTCTCGCACATACGAATGGGTCTCGTATGCCCTTTTGGCCTCAAGAACGTCAGGCTACATCCAACGATGCTCGAACACTTATTTTCCATGATTTAATTGGTACTATCATTGAAGTCTATATTGACGATATGGTCATCAAATCGGCACGACGGCAAACGCATTTGGATGACTTACATCAGGCATTCTTGCGCATGCGCCAGCACAATCTGAAGATTGAATCTCGCCAAATGTTCTCTTCAGCGTATCAGTTGGAAGTTTTTTAGGCTTCCTCGTCCATCACCGTGGGATTGAGGTAAACGACAACAAAGCTCGCGTAATCATTAATGCTCCACCGCCGATGACTAAGAAACAATTACAGTCGTTGCTCGGCCAGATCAACTTTCTCCGACGATTCATTGCTAACTCGGTTGGGAAAATGAAAGCTTTTTCCACTCTTTTGAAACTCAAGGACTTCGACACCTTCGAATGGGCTACCGAGCACGGCATTTCAGCACAAAAGTTTCTTTAAACCACCTTCTCCGTCCACGTCCCACCACGACGAAGTCACCCTTTTATGCTATATATTTCGACGGTCGAAAAATCCATCGGTTGCCTTCTCGCCCAGGATAATGACGCCGAGCACAAGCAGGCCATTTTTTACCTTAGCCGGAACCTTAACCCACCAGAGATTAATTACTCAGCTATTAAGAAGCTCTGGCTTGCCTTATTTTTTGCCGCGTCAAAACTCAGACATTACATGCTCCCTTCAGTCACTCAGGTCATCACCCAAACCGATATCATTTGTTACATGCTCACTCGACCGATCGTAAAGGGCAGAATCGACAAATGGACGATGGCCCTTTTTGAATTCAGCTTGTAATATGTTCATCAGAAAGCTGTAAGGGTCAAGCTCTAGCCGATTTTCAGGCCCACCACCATTTCCCGTACGAATTCAGGGGCAATAACGTCGACATCAGCCTGATACACACACGTGATAATTACTAGATGATGTACTTTGATAGGTCCAGTACCTCCGTCTCGGCTGGTGTTCGGATCGTTATTCAATCCCCCACTCATAATCGTTGGTATTTCTCGCTCAAGCTCGATTTCGATTGTACAAATAATCAGGCCGAATATGAAGCTCTTGTTATCGGCCTCGGCATGCTGCATAATTTACGGGAAACTCGTGTCCTTGTGCTTGGTGACTCCGAACGTGTCATTAATCAACTCAACGGGACTTTTCGTTGCATGAGCTGTATGGCGCCTTACCACATGGTTGCCAGATATTTGGCTGAATCCTTCGACGGAATAACTTTCAAACACATTTCACGTGTTCATAATACTGACGCCGATATTTTGGCTCAAATAGCCTCCAGAGCCCAACTTATAAGGGGAAAATTAGGCCGAGAAATACCTGTGTTACGACAAGTACATTCGGCTTTGATTAATCAACAAGTTTTTCAACAAGATTGCGTGATCCGTACACGAGTCATGTTTTTGTCGTCGTTATTAGAACATAAGGACATTATCAAGGTTTGTGCCGTCGAAGCATTACCAGACAATTGGAGAATGACGATTATGCGATATATTGATAACCCTAACGAAAAACACGACCGACGGACAAGGGTTCATGCCACAAACTACGTATTATATCAGAATGAGCTGTATCAAAAAGGTGAGGATGGGTTACTATTGTTGTGCCTCGGCCCGCAAAAAGCTACTCAAGCAATGGCAGAAGTACACGAAGGAATTTGTGGAGCCCACCAATATGGACGAAAAATACGTTGGCTACTTCGACGGCATGGCTATTTCTGGCTGAGTATTCTAATAGATTGTATTGAGTACGCAAAAGGTTGTGTATAGTGTCAAATCCATGGGAATATACAGTAAGTACCGGCTGAATCATTACATTCGGTCACCAAACCATGGCCGTTCCGAGGATGGGCCATGGATGTAATCAGAAAAATCACACCATCTTATGGTGCAACCAAACATGCGTGGATACTGGTTGCAACAGACTACTTCACTAAATGGGTCGAAGCCAAGTCATATGCCGAACTAACGTATAAGGAAGTTTGTAGCTTTTTTGAAGAAAACATTGTGACTAGATTCGGCGTGCCAGAAACAATCATAACAAATAACGGTACAGTTTTTACATCCGACAGATTTAAGGACTATACGGTAAATCTAAATATTCAACTCGAGCAATATACGCCATACTACCCACAGGCGAATGGACAGGCCGAAGCAAGCAATAAGGTTCTTATTGGTATTCTTGAAAAGATGGTGAAAGAAAGGCCAGGCATGTGGCATTTAAGGATAAACGAAGCATTATGGGCTTATCGAACCTCTCCACAGACAGCCACCGGGATGACTCCGTACTTGTTGACTTATGGACACGATGCAATGTTGCCCGTCAAGCTAAGTGTAAACTCGTTACGAATAATTGAACAAAGTAGTTTATTTAGTGCCGAGTACAGTCAAGCCATGAGACAAGAGCTAGAAGATTTGGAAGACGCTCGGTTTGATGCTTATAATTTATTAGTAGCTCAAAAGAAGATCGCTGAACGTGCATATAATCAACGAGTTAGAAAAAAAACGTTCGACGAAAGAGAATTGGTTTGGCAAACGGTACTCCCATTAGGAATTAAATACCCTAGGTTCGACAAGTGGTCGCCAAATTGGGAAGGGCCATTCATTATTCACAAAATCCTCGGCAAGAGGGCATATCATCTTAGGGATCGAACCGGTATTATTCACAAGTTGCCAATCAATGGAAATTTTTAAAGAAATACTATCTAGTTACATGGAAGATGCGAGAATAAAAGCTCATTTCATTTCATCAAGTTCATTTCATTAACAGGTCAGTTACAATCAAATAATTCTAGGGTGATGAAGGAAGAAGAGTTCCAAGAATGGCCTTTAGCTCCAACCACCTCACCTCGCCCATTATGACCTCAGGTTGCCGATTCCTCTTGTCCATCTTCAGCTGCTCGACTCTCTTTACACTCGCCGTGTATTTGGTTAAGCAAGATTTACCGCTTGCAAGCTTAGAAGCAATGGCCGATCTCCATTTTGCCAGTTTGGCCATTTCACGGTCAAGGTAGGCCAAGGTCTCTTTTTTGCCTTTCAAACTTCGACTTTCAGACGAAGAGCGTCTCGGATGGCTGTCGCAGCTTTCAAGTCATCGTCAGCCCGAAGAGCATTCTCGAAAATACTGAAATACTCTAGGGTCTGTTCCAAGGCGGACGACGCCTGAGTGATAGATTCGGCACTCAATTGACCATCAGCTCCAAGGTCATTTAGACATGCACCCACTGAGTCAAGGCCTTTGCGTTCGAGGACTTGTGAGGTTGAGAGACACAAAATTTCTTGCAACCAAACAAGAACATCAAACTCGACTTCCCATGAAGGCTGCACATGAAAACAGTTTAAGCGCAAGGAAAATCACAAAAGAATATAGCAAGAAGGTTTTTGTTTTAAACCTGCCGAGAGGAGACTTCAGCCATATCTTCAGGTTCATTGCTCGAACCTAAAAAACTTAATGGTCAAGCCCAATGTTTCAGACTGCTTCTTAATTCACGCGGCCGATAAAGGTTATCTATGTTCAATGGCCATTGAGGTGACCAGGAAATATAAATAACACCTTTCGGAGCATAAAAGTTTCGGTGAAATGAATAACTGGGCACCTGACATATTTAATATTTTCTCGGTTCAGACATGTTATAAAAATTTGACAACAAAAAGTAATCGAGCCTTACAAAAGTCGAGGTCACTTCTTGATAAGGGATGCCGAGGACTTGGTCATGCGGGTGAATTGGAGTTTCTGATGTCACTTCAAGAGGATTAACTTGATCGACCGCCTCAACCACAGGGGGAGGATCAACGGAATGAGCTTGGGTTGGTCGAGAGCGACTCGCCAGCGGAGTTTCATCACTCTCATCATCCTAAAACAAGAAGTGTTAATATTTTTTACTTAATGAGTAAAAGGGATTTGACGACATAATCATACCTCTTCTAAGATAACCGCCGAATGCTTTGGATTCTTAAGGAGATCTTTCTTAATCAAAGGGGTTGTCTCCCCTAGTACGGGTACTCCTATCGACCCTAGAGTTGCAGGCAAGTCGACCGACGGCACGGCTACCGGCTCAACCATAACCTCGGGAACTTCAAGTATCGGTTGAGCTTGGGTTGCCGAATTGGCCGAAGAAGGCCAATTATCCACCGAAGCCTGAACAATGGGAGCAGGATGAGAGGCATTCGGAGTAATTGCCCAGTGGTGTGGCTGGAGATAACATGAATCTCCCATGCTCCCTTCTGTGCCAATTTCTTGACGCATTTTGGGGGACAGGGAGTTTCACCTGCCGTCTCAGTGTCCAGGTGAGGTCATTTGCTCAACGAGTTTCATGCGGTGGTTTTGGTCTTCTTGGAGGAATGGGCCAATTTTCTCTTGACCACTGTCGGGACAACAATGTCCACTTGTTTCAATACCTGACCGCCTAAGAAAGCAAAGTTTCGTTAGTGAAATCACTCAGAAATCTGAAGAATAAAGGTAGAAACAGGGGTATACCTTGGGGCACCTCTTTAGATTGAGGGGCAGAGGGTTTCTTGGGCCTGTCACTAAACATTTTGTTAACTATTTCCTCGACTGAAGTGCCAAAAAAGTTGTGAGTATATTCTTCCCACCAGTCGCCGAAGATATCGGTGCCAAGAGATTCAGGAAAATTTGGTCAAAGACAAAACTTCTTACATCGTTCTTAAAATTCTTTATCGGTGTCTCTACATTCCCTTTCTGAGGAACCAGAGACGCGCCCTCAATCTAGAAGACAGTGAGAAGAAAGTAAAGGCACTGGGCAACCTTGGAGGTAGCCGAGCTGTCGGGCGGCAAAGTAGGGGTGATAAACTTCCCAACTTACTCGGCAAGCATCACAACCAAGGGGAAGGTCGCTAGTTAACATGAACGACCCCCAGTTTTGACGAAGAGCGGCATCCTTGCTTTCACTCCAAGTTGACGTAGGAAGTCTGAGGGAGCGAGGGTATTCTCGACGACGACATATCAAAAATTTCATCAAAAATGACATCCAGGCCGAAGAGGTGTTTAAAGACCTCTTCAGCTCGATGAGGTAGCACTAGTCGAGAGACTAATTGAAGGTCGAGCACTACAGTAGACTGAAAGTCGGAGACTTCTTGCCGAAATGTGGAGAAATAAACCTACAGCCAGAGTTGAAACACCCAGAGAGGTCCATTCTAGTGCGGGTCAATCTTGTTGATGGTCGTCTCTGCCAAGCAACGTAGGACGTTGCCGAGGATGAAGGGACTGAGAGCCAGAGAATGACCACTAGCCAGGGCTTCCACCACCGGCATATTCTTGACCAAGAATTTATTCGACTTGGTACAACAAATGAACTTGTTGTACCAGTAAAATAGGAAGGCCTCGTGTTCACCCTTCCATAAACCCGCCTCTCCTCGACTAGCAAAATAGAGGCTAAGGGTGTTGTAGTTCAGAAAATTCTTGTGCAATTTCTGAACGTCGTCTTTTGAAGGCTCTTGACCTTCCTGGTTCACGTCTCAACGACCCGATAGTCCCGATGATAGCCGAGACGTCGAAGATGGTAGGGACATAGGGCCGAATGGAAGAACCATGGTGTTGGTGGCCGAGCACTAGAGGCTAAGAGCTACCATAAGAAGCTCTTTATCCATTATACTCCATGGTCGAGAGCTTGATAGCGTCATATATACCAAGAATTTTCCACTCTTTACCGAAGAAATTTTCCATTCGAACAACCCATGCCACCCAATTCGCATTTGACGAGGGCCAGGATCCTTGGGGTTTTGTCTGACACCACTTCGACCAATCGAATCCCTACGGCAATCCTGCCAAACAATGTTTTTTAAATAGGTTGGTGATGGATGACGGCACCGTATCCTTGAAAAGTGGGCCCAAAACTTGGTGAGTAGTGTTTAACTCACCCTCGAAATGCAGAGTCTTGATGGCGTGCTAATCGATGAAATCCTTGCACTTGGTGCACTCAGGGGAAAGTTCTGAGACAAAGGAGGCCATTGATGAAAGGTTAAAATTTCTAAGATGGAAGTTTTAGATTCCCTGGTTTTTGAAAGCTTTAGGAACAAAATGGTGAGGAAATTTCAAAGGTAAAGAGCGTAAGGTACGAATGGAAGGGATCCAGGTATTTACAGGCATTTGGGAACGGAAGGCTAAACGGTTGATTTTCAAAATCAAGGGTAGAATCAAGCGGGAGAAGTACTAATCATTGTGTATGTTTAGAAAATCGAGGTGAGAGGATCGAGGTTTCCACGGTTTGAGGACGCACGATAGCGTGTTACGGCGGATTTAATACGAGAGAGACGTTTCGACGGTCGCATGTTTTCAAGGATCATGATTAAAAGCTGCTACGGTAACCAGGAGGTTGACATGTGGCAGGACGATTTAGAAATCGAGATCGTGAAATTACGTCTCATAAGTGCGCATGGTGGTAGTTCCCGAGGTTCGATTTCACTTCGTCAAGGTCGAGGCTCGAACTAAGGAGTTTAGGTTGGCGACCTCAGAAGCGAGGGGGCAATGTTTGAGCCAAAAAATATGGTTTTGAGCCGAGTTTAGAATGGTTTCGGCCCAGTGTTGGTTGGGCCAAGTTCAGAATCCTTCTCGGCCTAGAGACCATGTATGGGTATCATTGGGGGTTTTCTAGTTTATGGGCCACGCAATCGAAATTGGCCATATCCCATCAGGAATTGGGAATGTGGATGAGTCCTATTATGAGAATGAGTTTCGATAGGATTAGGATGCTGGAACTGAATATGGTCTGATAACAAGTTACGTTCAAAGTCCTAATAGGAGTAGGATTAGCCGAGATAAAGCTGGATTAGGGAGAGGAGTTCTAATCCTGGAGTGATTGGGATTCAATACAAGTTGGCTGCTATAAATAGGGAGGGAAAACATCGAAACAAGCCCCTCAAATTCAACACACAAACTACCCTACACAAACCCTCACTCTACGCAAAACCTCTCAAACATCTTGAGATTTTTTTTATTTTCCTTTTTCACCAACACATTTTCAGTTTGGATAAACAGCACTGTGAGGGCAACCGGTGAACATCTTCAGTTTGGATAAACAGCACTGTTGCCGTAGAATTAGCCGACCGTGAAGCACCTTCAGTTTGGATAAACAGCACTGCGACAAGGCCGACTAGTTATCTATCCAAATCTCGATCGAGGAGGATTTTCGACTCCTTATCGACAAAGGTCATCTCGTTAGCCTTCTTGGCAAAACGAGATGTTACAAGTTACTATACTCAGCACATTGAACGCCGAGTCATTTATGATTGGTTGTTCGCAAGTAGGTTTTAGAGTTCCGCATTCTGACGGCTGAACCACTTTCACAATCAAGACATACATTTGTTTTAAGTATTTGTGTCCCTATACTTTGGTGTCAATTCGGCGTGCTTATACTCTCACGAATATAATCACCGTGACTGAATCTGGCGCTAACGATTTGTGAACTTCGCAGAACTAGTAGTTTTGTCTTCAAGCTCTAGAACCTGAAAGCCAAGACGTGTTCCTTCCTCAGCCGCAGTCACGAGATCACGAAGTCAGTTACGCGCTCAACGCAACATCGACACATTTTACTCCTCGACTAAGCTCGGCCGAAGAGTTGGCACACCCCGCATACAACTGAATGACGTAGTTAGCTTACTAATTACTCAACCTGCGCACCACGTACGCTTGATAGTTTTTAGGGTCAACAGTCATTCAAGTAAATGTAGCAAATTTT